AAGAAAAGGGGTATCTTTTATAACCGGAAAAGGGAAAAAAAAAACTGCCTCAAGACAAGTAGAACTAGGTCTGACATGGGTAGGCGTTTCGGATGTTAAGAAGCTTGGAGGCATAATCCTGCATTTCTATACTAAGTGTGGACAGCTCAGTGGGTTTAGACCTTGTTCAACCCTAGGGGCTCGCAGGTTCATTTCCCCTGCAGGGTTAACTCAGCACTTCATCCCTTTGAGGTAGATGACTGTAGTACCATTCAATGGAGTCCCAGGTTGCATTTGGGAACCAGTATATATCTGAATGTCTCTTGCCTAGCTTTTAAGTAGAACCTACTTGCAATCACTGGTTTCTTGGTCTAGTTAAAGAACATTCCGAACATCTGATTCTCTACTTACAGAAACCGTGTTCCTGTTGGATTCAAGGAGTTTGAGATATGGTTCTGTGAACCATGAAGTTCGCTGGGTTCCTCAAGAATCTCCTGGTTATCAATCTCGAATCATTCCTTTAAACCGGTTATGAATTTAAATTAATTGGTTTCTCTCCTGAGGTTCAGAATTTCCTTATATCCCTATTGCGGCTGCTCAAGAAGTTTTCTGAAAATACGCCATAATAAGTGGATTGAAGAGATTTCATTGCTCTTCAAAACACTCCAATAACAGCATATTTTAGGGAACGAGGCATTCTTCGTGGCCATTCCTCTACCAAGAGAGTAAGCGAGCTTCAGGATATATCATCTTCAGTGGAATTGCTTATATTCCATCAGGGTGAAATTTGTGTTTAATCCTAACACTTCAATCCAGAGTTACCTATTAGAGCCATTAAATCGTCTCAGCCTTCAATAATATGCCACCTCCCCGATGGAACTAGATGGCATATTCAAAGGGCATTTCAGATGTACCTATTAATATCGGCCAAATTCAGAAGATCAGATCACCTGTTGTCAACTTCTAGGGAAGTTTTAAGGGGAATGAAGCCTCTCGTAATTCTATTTCTTGTTATTTCGTCAATCATAATGGCCTATGCTTCAGTAGTTTTGATTCACCAGGGTCTTTCACAGCGCATTCCACAGACTCTCCCTGGTTATTTTAGAGGATGTGGTTCTTGCAAAGTTTGCACCACACCATCCACGGGGAAAACTAACATCTTCTCCAGCTCCGTCACAGGGAAGGTATTTAAGCTCAAGACTGAGATCAACTGCCACACGAACATTGTGGTATACTTACTGCAATGTCCGTGTGGCAAACAATATGTCGGACGTACCAGGAGAATTTTGAAAGTTCGACTTCTTGAACATCTAAATAACATCAGAAAGAGTCTTATAACACACTCTGTTCCAGCTCATTGTATCACGTGCCCTTCGTTCACTTTCAGCGGGTTTAATTGTCTGGGGATCGAGAGGGTTTTATCTTTTTGGCGAGGGGATAACAGGATCCAAAGACTGGCACAGAGGGAGACCTTCTGGATCCACAGACTTGGTCTGTTTTTTGGATTAAATTGTCCTTTCTTCTGACAATTGTATCCTCTGAAAAGTGGTCTAGGGGCCCTCATTGTGAGGGCTATTCTTTTTCTATTTTGTCCTTAACCGCATACTGATATGGGTCTCCACTTTTTGTAAGGAGGGACAAATATGCTCTTTATGCCATTAGCTTCCTTGTTATTATAGGAGTTTCTGGTGTCAAACAAATATAATTATATGTTATATTTTATATTCTAACTCTATATGTTAATACCATTGAGACTTTTATGTGTAGGTTTTCTTCTTGAAATATAGGTAGGTATGGTACTCCAATAATATGGAGGTTTTTCTATTTAGGGACAACAGTTGATTAAAATATACATTTATTATTTCTTATGTTTTGGTTAGTTCTTTAATACTGTCACTATATGATCACTGTCACTTTAAGATGAATGCTACTTATTTTTGCTTAATTATATTTAATGAGATATTCCAAAACAATACCAAATATGGTATACCATGAATATATACTTTTGGACCATTAATGCGATATATGTAACTGTTTTTGGGATTTGGTGATTAATATGTTTCTCCAGTAGAGATCTACAGGGAGTGCAGAATTATTAGGCAAATGAGTATTTTGACCACATCATCCTCTTTATGCATGTTGTCTTACTCCAAGCTGTATAAGCTCGAAAGCTTACTACCAATTAAGCATATTAGGTGATGTGCATCTCTGTAATGAGAAGGGGTGTGGTCTAATGACATCAACACCCTATATCAGGTGTGCATAATTATTAGGCAACTTCCTTTCCTTTGGCAAAATGGGTCAAAAGAAGGACTTGACAGGCTCAGAAAAGTCAAAAATAGTGAGATATCTTGCAGAGGGATGCAGCACTCTTAAAATTGCAAAGCTTCTGAAGCGTGATCATCGAACAATCAAGCGTTTCATTCAAAATAGTCAACAGGGTCGCAAGAAGCGTGTGGAAAAACCAAGGCGCAAAATAACTGCCCATGAACTGAGAAAAGTCAAGCGTGCAGCTGCCACGATGCCACTTGCCACCAGTTTGGCCATATTTCAGAGCTGCAACATCACTGGAGTGCCCAAAAGCACAAGGTGTGCAATACTCAGAGACATGGCCAAGGTAAGAAAGGCTGAAAGACGACCACCACTGAACAAGACACACAAGCTGAAACGCCAAGACTGGGCCAAGAAATATCTCAAGACTGATTTTTCTAAGGTTTTATGGACTGATGAAATGAGAGTGAGTCTTGATGGGCCAGATGGATGGGCCCGTGGCTGGATTGGTAAAGGGCAGAGAGCTCCAGTCCGACTCAGACGCCAGCAAGGTGGAGGTGGAGTACTGGTTTGGGCTGGTATCATCAAAGATGAGCTTGTGGGGCCTTTTCGGGTTGAGGATGGAGTCAAGCTCAACTCCCAGTCCTACTGCCAGTTCCTGGAAGACACCTTCTTCAAGCAGTGGTACAGGAAGAAGTCTGCATCCTTCAAGAAAAACATGATTTTCATGCAGGACAATGCTCCATCACACACGTCCAAGTACTCCACAGCGTGGCTGGCAAGAAAGGGTATAAAAGAAGAAAATCTAATGACATGGCCTCCTTGTTCACCTGATCTGAACCCCATTGAGAACCTGTGGTCCATCATCAAATGTGAGCTTTACAAGGAGGGAAAACAGTACACCTCTCTGAACAGTGTCTGGGAGGCTGTGGTTGCTGCTGCACGCAATGTTGATGGTGAACAGATCAAAACACTGACAGAATCCATGGATGGCAGGCTTTTGAGTGTCCTTGCAAAGAAAGGTGGCTATATTGGTCACTGATTTGTTTTTGTTTTGTTTTTGAATGTCAGAAATGTATATTTGTGAATGTTGAGATGTTATATTGGTTTCACTGGTAATAATAAATAATTGAAATGGGTATATATTTGTTTTTGTTAAGTTGCCTAATAATTATGCACAGTAATAGTCACCTGCACACACATATATCCCCCTAACATAGCTATAACTAAAAACAAACTAAAAACTACTTCCAAAAATATTCAGCTTTGATATTAATGAGGTTTTTGGGTTCATTGAGAACATGGTTGTTGTTCAATAATAAAATTAATCCTCAAAAATACAACTTGCCTAATAATTCTGCACTCCCTGTAGTGTTATGATCGGTTCCATTCTGTCTCATGCCGTTTTGAGGGAAGCTGTGTGGTCTTGTTGCCCTGACTCCCAAGGTTACACGCAGGTGGAATGCACCTGACACGCACCTGGAAAGCAGAAGCATACGGTTACATCGCTTCCGGTTCTGGTCACGAACTTCCGGTTCCGGTTACCCGCGAATGCGCCAATTTTGATTGCAATACTAACTTGAGGACAGAGAGCACCTGGAGAAAGCTTGACACTACACCAATGAAATCACAGGAGGATGACAACACCCACGGATCCACCAATAGACTTAGGGATTAGCCCTATTTAAAGGGACTTTGGGAGGGGGGTTGTTAGGATATGTGTGTTTTACATGTTATTTACATTGTAATTTGTTTTTAATATTAATGCAGTCCCTGAGGAAGTTCCTTTGGAACGAAAAGCATAGGA